ATGCACAGGCCTTACTAGTAGTGGTGGAGCCACATGGTGACTAGGGAGTCACCTGCCCCCCTGTCACGACCCAAACTTGCCCTTATAGGTTTAGCGTCGTAACCAGCCAGTAATCCGTGATTACCGAAGGCTTGTTTAGCAATAATGACAATAATGCAATATAAAGGGGCTGGAAGAAGTCAATCAATGATAATATACATCGTCCAATAAGCTATGAGGACCTGAATGGAAATAAACTTTTATGTACATAGCCATATTCATAACCACTTATACCAAAAATACATATACAAGACAGTATGCCAGTTAGGGACATAATCCCATCATCAAAACTGTATAAACAAAGGTCTTAAACATTCTTTACATTTAGCAAAGACAAAAGGGTGGATTTGAGTCACCCAAAAAGCCTTGACTCAGGCAAGTTCGAAACCTCGTTATGAGGCACAATGGCTATCTTGACAAAATAGGAGTTCGGGTTGGCGCATCTAGCTTTGATCCGGTGCCTGGCCACCTATATATATATGGTAAACTGTGAGCTATAGCCCAGTGAATAACAAATGTGTAAACAGGTTAAGAATGATGTCCTTCAATCTTTGAAACAATCGAATAGTATTAGAACATTTTCAATCAATATAATTTGTCGATCTATCGTTCGATTCAATCAATCAATAATTATATAAGTCATACGTGGTACATCCAATAGCAACGATACACTTGGTCTTAGAAGACTGAACAATCAATTGATGGCCATCATACAATAACAATAGTTCCAAAATTCAGAACTGACAGAGATCTCTGTAACAATAGCGATATCAATAACAATACGCTATGGATGCCACGAATAAAATTCAAAAGAGGATCATCATTCAATCGATAAAAGGTAACCGTTTAGAAACAATATAATTTATCATTCAGAAAATAAATACAATTTGAACATATCTTTACAACATTATAACTCACAATGGGCTCCTCAATACACGGACGATAAGGCACTAAGGATGTGGCGTCCGACCTAACAAACAAATTTAAGCACAACAACTCAATTACATCTATGCCGGATTCAATCACTTCTATTTCTATTTGCTTCATTGTTATTCAGTCAATTTCTATTCATTATTCACTTGTTCGGTTCTACCTTTCATTCGTTCACACATGAGATGCAATACACATGAAATACATTTTAAAACCATGTAAATGAAGGCCCAGAAAGTAGAAAAGAGAAACGAAAAGCAAACCGAGACTGCCCTGTTGGCCGCACGTGCGGTGGCCTTGGCCGCACGTGCGGTGGCCTTGGCCGCATCAATTACATCTGTGCCAGATTCAATCACTTCTATTTCTATTCGCTTCGTTGTTATTCAGTCAATTTCTATTCATTATTCACTTGTTCGGTTCTACCTTTCATTCGTTCACACATGAGATGCAATACACATGAAATACATTTTAAAACCATGTAAATGAAGGCCCAGAAGGTAGAAAAGAGGAACAAAAAGCAAACCGAGACTGCCCTGTTGGCCGCACGTGCGGTGGTTTGGCCGCTCGTGCGGTGGCCTTGGCCGCACGAGTGGTGGTCCAGCAGAATGCTCCCTTGAGCTCATGAAGGTTGGCAGCTCGAGCGGGGGCCCAGGCCGCTCGAGCGGTCTGGGTGAAAATGTTAGCCGAAACTGCTCTGTTGGGGCAGTGCAGTCCTTAGCAAATTCAACCTCTTTTGCCAATAATTCAAGTCTTAAAACTATCAAGAATACATCCATTTAGTCATAACAAGTATTAAACAAAATTTATGGTTCTAATTTGAGGCTCAAATCCATGTAAAACAACAAATACAACTTCTTGAAGGTTATCACAAGATCAAAACTTTATAAGTGAGCCTCAAGCTTCATAATTCATGGCAATTTTCCAGCAAGTGAAGAACCATGCAAGAGTTTAAATGTGTGAAAATAATTTTCATGAAAATCATGCCATGCATGAAGCCATCTTAAATTACATCTCTCATTTGTTCATTATAAGCCATGCATGTATCAATTCTCTAATTATATGAACCAAATGAACTAAACCTCAATTCTTCTCATAATTTCTTAACTAATCTGAAATTAAAACATAATTCTACAAATTCATGAGATGAAAGAGAGTAATTCTTACCTAGGTTGAGTACATTATGAAGAATGGAGTGTAGTTACAATGGTTTCTTCACTTTCTCTTCTCCTTCTTCTAACATCTTCTTAAGCCCTTTTTCTTCTCTTTTCTTTTCTTATTTCTTTGTTGAACTCTCTCACCTTCAAAATCCTTCCCTCTCTCTACATGTATCTACCTACGTGTATGTACCTGAGCTTATCAAGGCCCACTACACTTCTCTCTTAGCTCACTTCATGTAATCCATTTGGTGAGTATGAATCAAAAACATTAGGCTTAAATTAATTAGACTAATAAATTAAGTAAAATCACCTAAGGCGGCTAAGAAATTAATTGAAATCAATTTGACATTAATTAAATTAATCTCATCATCTTAAAATTTTAATTACACTAGGTGAAATTATATTACGGTGAATCAGGCTCTAATTCCTATCCAATTTTCTTAAATTTTAACTTGCTAAAATTAGCGAATCAGATAGGTTTATTTCGTTCTTTTCCATATCTGTTCTCAATAGCACTACAATACCAATCAATGCAAGTATATATATCATATGGCACATAATTCACATAACACATAATTACATAATTAACAATAAACATATAATTAATTTAATTACTTTGCTTAATTAAGGAAGTGGTTGTCACACCCTCCCTGGATTTTTTTTAATTTTTTTACTTTTTTACATATGTATATAAATAAAATTTTAAACAAAAATAATATTTAGAATAAAATGTCAATGGCGTTTTTAAATTTATGAAAACAATAGTGATTGTTTTATTGAACATGAAATGATTACAATAAATTATATTTTTATGTATGAAAATTTTATGAAAAAATCTCAATATAAATGTAATATCCATCATTATTAATATGCAAATATAATTAATCTCACTATATATATGTAAAAATTACTAGAATGTTAGTTATATTTGTACATGGAGTCTGCCTTTCATATGTTGCTTTACTATTGGTTTGTGATATCATATGTCAATAATGACGTGATATCACTATTATATGAAATTTTTACTCAAATTTTGTAAAAATTTGATTTATCTTATCATTATATAAATTATTTTACGACTTAAATATATATTGTCCATAATATATTAGTTACACTCAATACTTTATTTTCGATTTTACTCGAAGTTAATTGTAAAATTTTATGTGAAATATTTTTATAATAATTTATTAAAATTTTTGTACTTAATATTAATTCAAAAATTATTATTATCTTCATATTGTTGGTTATGGAAAAAAAAATTAAAGTTATAATTAATGAGTATCCCTCCTAATTTAATTTTCTCGCTCCGTCACTTCTTGCTAGCCTTAGCCTAGGGCCGGCCCTGCCCAGACCAAGTCAGCCATGACAACTTAATGTCTAGACTGGTTTTAGAAATCCTATTAACTTGTTATTCTAATTTATTTTTTTTGTGTAAAAGCATTTTTCTTTTTTGCGATATTAGAGGTAAAAATATATCGGCATTCTCATTCAAGATCTCTGATATTGTCAAAAACCTACCAGAAAGACATGAGTCCATTGGAGCTATTATTTTTGTTTAGTTTTTCATTGGTGGCTAAAGGCCTGAAGCCATTCCCAATAACAAAACTGCTTTTCAAATTCAAAGCTTTTGGATGGAGCATTTTAACAAGGGGGATTTGGTGATAGCCCCTCACTATCTAATTTGTCTTTCAAAAGGACAAGAATTATATAAGTACTTTCAAAACCCCCTAATATTTTAAAACTTGTTTCTTTTACTATATTACCCTCATATCTATCAGCTCTCCTATTAAGCCATCTTCACTGTGTATTTCAGAGTAAAATTTTACTCTGTATGAAAGTAAAATTTCACTCTGAATAAGAGTAAAATGTTACACTCTGAAACTAAAGTAAAATTTTACTCTGTATAAAAGTAAAATTTTACTCTGAATAAGAGTAAAATTTTACACTCTGAAACTAAAAGTAAAATTTTACTCTGAAAAACAAGTAAACTGTGAGACTCTGAAGCTAAGAGTAAAACTCTGAAGCTAAAAGTAAAATTTTACTCTGTATAAAATTTTACTCTGTATAAAAGTAAAATTTTACTATGAATGAGAGTAAAATTTTACACTCTGAAACTAAAAGTAAAATTTTACTCTGTATAAAAGTAAAATTTTACTCTGAAAAATAAGTAAACTGTAAGACTCTGAAGCTAAAAGTAAAATTTTACTCTATATGAAAGTAAAATTTTACTCTGTATGAAAGTAAAATTTTACTCTGGTTCTGTCAAATGAAAAAAACGAGCAATAGAACCAGAATAAAATTTTACTCTGGTTCTATCAAATGAAATTTGATGTTTACTCTGAAAAATCGATGGAATTTTAAACTTTGAGTTTTGAATCAGGCCTATAATCCTTGAATCAATCGATGTTTACTTTGAAAAACATTGAATCATGCCTATAATCCTTGAATCAGGCCTATAATCTGAAAATTTTAGAGAAATCTCAATTTTTCATACCCCGGTTCTTCAGATTTTACAGATTTTTCAGATTTTTAAAACTTTAAGCTTTCAAAAATCTATATATTCGAATTCAAATCTCAAAACACACAAACACACACATATATATAGATATATATATATATATATTACAGATCGGAATATGTAGATATATATATATATATTCGAATTCAAATCTCAAAACACATATATTCGAATTCAAATCTCAAAACACACAAACACACACATATATATCTATATATCTCGGGAGATTAGAGATCAGAATCGTTCATGGTGCACAGATTTGAGTTGAAACCCTATATCGAAAGAGGGAAGAGAAGCTTGCGGAGGCTCTGGAGGATGATGAAGTCATGGAGAGGTAACGGTCGAGGACGGAGTCGATGGAGGGGTTGTCGAAGGCGAAGGTGTTGCCGGCGTTGGAGAAGGTGATGACGGCGGCTTCGGTGCCGCACAAGTTGCAGAGCTCGCCGGTCTTCTTGAAGAGGCCATCTGTGGAAAGGAAAAGAGTGGGGAAGAGAGTGGGTATAATAGTCATATAAAATATTTAAATAATAAATTTGTCCTTTATGCAAGACTTTATAATTATGAGGGGGTTTAGAAAGTATAATTTTTTTCTTAGTCCTTTTAACAATGAAAGGAAGGTAAAGGGGGTTTATAGCCAAATTTCCTTTTTAAGAATTAGAAAGCTTTTGGAAATAGTGGTGATCTAACATCCTTGTTTGGCAAGTTGGCTATTTTAGTAGAGCTATTTTAATAGGTTAAAATTTTTGTGTTTGGGAAGATGGTTGGATTTTTTTTTGTAATTGGATGTGATGTTTGTGAGAAAAAAAAGTAAAATGATTATGGATTTGATGTGCCATTTTATCTTATTGGCTATTTTAGTTTGTTTTGTCTTTTTATGAATTTTAGCCTAAAATTGGCTATTTTAGCCTTTGCCAAACAAGGCTTATAGTATCAAACTAATCAGAGCTTTAGTTACTGGGAGGTTTTGGGTTCAAGTCTGTTTGTTTGCATTTGGTTTCCCATTTGGTATGTTTGCTTGAACTATGTTTGTTTGTCTGTTTGTCTCTCCATGTTAGAGAGGGTGTTAGATAGCTTGATGTACATATTTGGGTCCATTTTCTAACAGTTTAAACTTTTGGGACTAGTAGTGATCTAACATAATGATCTCATCAAAATGTTCCATATATGACTATTTATCATGTATAACTAATTTGTCCATTAAACAAAGTTCGCCTTCTTTACATATGCATGAACTTGATTTTCAGCTCAATTTGTAAATATTAAGATGTCCAACCGTACTTAATGTTCATACGTAGATATTTCTCCATGTTATCTCTTACTGCTTTAAAAGCCAACATGGTTTTGATTTCTGCAGTGGCAGCTCTTAGTGAAATAGCTGAACAATTGGGTCTCCATGTTATATAATTTGAGTCTGAACCATTGTGATGAAAACTTCAACTGGTACACACCAATAGTCCCCACACGCATACATAACAGTACTGTCAGCTGCAACTGCTCTTCTGCTGATGAATGTCACATCAGTGCCATGTATGCTCCTCCTTTTTTCTGTTTTTAAATATACATCTTTACTTATTATTCAAGTGCATTTTTCCCTGAAGATTGTATTTGTGATTGGCTATGATGTTTGAATACTAATGTGTTAAAACTTTTTTTATGACAGTTAAAAATCCAAATTCTACTTTGGATAAACTGTAGACAATAAAAAGAGGTCATATCCAGTGTGTGATTTGATCCCAATTTAGATGACACACTACAGCAACATGGTTGACATTTTTTGCATCACTTCGCTTTTTATCCACCAGAATAGCAAGAATACCATTCCCAGTTTTACTGCTGTTTTTACCTACTACATATTACTTTTGGGGCTTAATATCTTGTCGAATGTCCCTATATGTTGGTCATATATGCAGGCGCATGGGTTTTGCTATATGGAGTATTATATATTTGCCTAATTATTTGTTATTGTTAGTTATTTAATGGTAGGCCTTGACGCTCCATTGTGACTCTAGTGTCATGGATTTGAAATACGGAAACAGCCTCTCGTATGTAGGGTAAGCTTGCAGCCTGTGTACATTTAACCCTTTCCAGACCCTGCAGTGGTGGGAGCCTCGTGCATTGGGCTGTGCTCTCTCATTTGCCAGTTTTTTCAATGAAGTCACAAGCTTATAATCTTTCAAAGTGTAGAGGTAGGCAGTAGAAAGAGACTTTAATCAAAATGTCCAAATCCTTCACATGGGGACCAGCCCATAATTATAATGTGAGCTACTCTATTACCATAGTGTCTAGCATAATGGAAGTTCTTTTCAGGTGTTCTTCAAGCAAAATGAGAAGTTATACTTGTGTAGTGAAGAATTTTTTTTCCTCTAATGTTATCAATTATGCATGTTTGTTTTTTGGATTGTTTAAACTATGTTATTGTTCCTAGCTCGCTATTGGTCTGTCACTTTTTATTTATGCCATGCACTCTTCATGGTTTCCATGAAAATATATTCATATTATATTGCTAATTGCTAATTTGCAAGGCTGGTTGGGAAAATCAAGGGTATATTTTGATGTTGAGTTATGTTAGGGACCCCAAATAATCTACTAAATCTTCTACCAAACCTCTCACATAGGTGTGGAACCCATACACATGTGTGTTTGTTTGGGTCCCACACCCATGTGAGATGTTTGGTAGAAAATTTGATAGATTATTTGGGATCTATAGCATTTTCCTTTGATGTTCCATAGAACTGGAATGACTGCTAATAGTATTCATAGTATTTCAAGGTGGAAATCTAACATCTTGAGCTTGCAAAGTGACAAGAACAAATTGTAGCCAATATACAAATGAAATTTCAAAATTTTGAATAAGGGTACGTGATGGAACAGTAAACAAAGAACCACTCTAGGGTTCCTGCAATTCTCTCAACTCAATCAATGTTAATTCAATCAAAGGGAGTATCTTCCTTACACAATCCCATATATATATATATATATTCTGAAAAAATATATGTATTATTGATTGATGAATTGATTGATCTGATACATTGATGTATTTAATTACAAAGCAGAGTAGCTCATTATATAGGAGAGGGTTTGGGTAGTAGGTGAGGAGTAGGTGAGGGTAAATTGGTGGTAGGTGTAGTAGGTGTGGTAGTAGGTGGTGGTAGGTGTAGGTAAATTCTAACAGCCCCCCGCAAACTCAAGGAGGATAGAAACTAACCAACTTGAGTTTGGAGAGAGGAACAAAACAAGAAAAATACATAAAAAAAAAAAGGATAGGTGACACTGTATGGTCGTGTCAGACCATTGGTGAAGACACTGTATGGTGGTGTCATAACGTTGTAGAGGACACTGTATGGTGGTGTCATAACGTTGTAGATGACACTGTATGGGGGTGTCATAACGTGGTAGAGGACACTGTATGGTGGTGTCAGACCGATGTAGAAGACAGTTTATGGGGTCATGTCGGACCGTTGTACATGGCTCACACTAGTTTATTATTTGATGGCATTTGATATGAAAAATAATTATTAAATTAAAGCGCTTCCGTATGTTATGATTTGAAATTATTTGTTAGGATAAAATTTGGGAATTATGGAGCTTATTTTGTGAAATTGGCACTTTCTATGCAAATCATGCTAAAATTGGGATTTAATCCATAAAATTATCACTTTATGTATGTTAAATGATGCTGGAATTAGGATTTGAATTATCGATTAAAAGTTTGTGTGAAATTAGAAGGAAGAATTTTTTAGAAATCAATTTCTGTTAAGGGTGATTATGGATTGATTTGGGTCGAATGGCCTCTCATCCGTCATCTATCGAAACTTAGATAGAATGGAAAAAATAATTTGCATCTACCCGCTTAGTTAACGGATGCGAATTGAGCGGGGTCGTATGCGTTGGTGGATAGATGCAGATTGATTTGGCGGTTTGGGCTTTACTATTTTGGGTCTTTTTTTTTTAAACTATAAGCCTCGTTTGGAATGAATTTTTTAACTTGGGGTAGAAAGCAAAATGAAATGATTATGATTTGGATGTGACATTTTGTCTTATTGAATTTTTAGTCTATTTTGTCTTTTTGTAGCTAAAATAACCAAAAAAAATTAATCCAAACATAGCCTAAAAAAATCACGTTAATTAGATATTGATAGTTATTTCATCTGATCAAATTTTTGTTAATCGTTTATTTTTTTACTGTCTTTTTTTTATACAAAACTGATTTAATCATGTATCTATCGATATCTGATCAACATGATTTTTAAAAAGTATATAGTATTCGACGATTTTTACACATTGTACGATTCAGATTATAAAAAGAAAACTCATAATAGGTCTCTATAAATTTAACAATACCCTCTAATCCGATAATGAACGAAAAGAAAGCCAAATCCTTAAATGCCTGTGAAATTGGTGCACTACATCATAAATTTCAATTATTTATTTATTTATTGATTTATATTTTGTTTGTAACTACTCCTCAGTCTACCCTCTTTTCACGTAAAGCAAGAAGATGATTTTTTTTTTATTTTTTTTTTATTTTTTTAATATAATAAAAAGAGATATATATATATATATATTTTAAAAAAAAAATGGGGAACAACATGATGTCTGAGAGCATCAATGAAGGTTTAGAATAAAAAATAAAATTTGATTAAAAAAATAAAATGGGCGGTGGATGGGTTTGATTAAACAAAGAAAAGTGAATTGGGTGTGTGTGTGAGTGTGTTTTGTGAGTGCCGTCGGTGAGAGTGGAGTGTCAGATCCCCTTGCTTTTGTTTTTGTGTTTTTGCTGTTAAACAAACATGGCTCTCATAGTAGAGAAGATTGGGGCTTGTGTCCATATTCCCACTTTCGGTACTGTTGGAACTTGAGCTGTCTTATCAGTGAGATCCATGCTTCTAGTTAAAGCATTGGAAGTCACCTTCCCACCAGTTCGAAATCGTCAAGAAGCAGCGTTGGAGAGAGCAAAATAAGGCTTCCACATCTAGGGAAACTGCTGCAAGCTCGTCCCATGCATCTTCTATTGGTAGAGTTTTGTCAATGGAAATGGACCAGAAACAGGTCAGATAATTTCCACTACAGTGAGTGGTCGAAATGGACAACCGAAACAGAGTCCGGCGATTGGAGCTGCGAGTCCGACCCAGAGGCCCGAGTTGCGGCCGAGTTCAGCCCCCCGGACTCGTCACTCTCGATGGACACGACGACGATTGGAAAAACGTTGCTGGGTTCGAGTTCTCTCTCCTCCCTGCTCTAGACCCACATCCAGATCACGAGTACAAAGGTGGAAAAATGATTGTAAAGGCTTTGCACGATGGGAAAGATGTTTACTTCATGTTGCAAATTGATGGTATGTGTTGAAAAAACTCCAGTGGGCAGCGAAGGCAAGGTTGCCGGCCGGCTGTCCGCCGGAAAAAAAAAGTATAGGCCTAAATCTTATTGCTCTGATACCATGAAAAAATATATGTATTATTGATTGATGAATTGATTGATCTGATACATTGATGTATTTAATTACAAAGCAGAGTAGCTCATTATATAAGAGAGGGTTTGGGTAGTAGGTGAGGAGTAGGTGAGGGTAAATTGGTGGTAGGTGTAGTAAGTGTGGTAGTAGATGGTGGTAGGTGTAGGTAAATTCTAACATATTCCATAACCGTAACCAAATAAGGAAATTAAAGAAAAATGAGAAATAAATCAAATGGAAACAAATCCTAAAACTAAATCTCCTACTACGCTGTCAATTGGCACCTCTTGCTCCTAAAATATGTCTTCCTCTCCATCAGTAAGTTTTCTATTCTTCATTAGGTGACCTCATTTCAGCTGAGTAAACCTTCACTTCAAATACTAAAATGTTTAATAGGTGCATTCAAATTTAAGGGGAAGGCAAAATTCACACTATGTGATTGACAATACCTTGGTAGTTAGACAGCTACTCCATCGACTTATTATTACATTGCAGTTAATTGGTATGTAGGAACATGAGGTGGCTTTCATTTCAATTTTGAACTTATACATGGCACATACTGCCAATTTACATACCTAATTACATATGTATATGGATGCCTCACACAGATGTTTTGAACATTAGCATTTCTAAACTCTTGCATTGGCTCTGTGTGTACACTTATTACTTGGAGTTTTTCATGGTTTGTGCTTTTAATTATTTGTTGTTAACTGTTATCCATTGTTGCATTTTGTAATTGTTTGTTTTCTTGGTGATGACTCTTTCTATCTTGTATATAGTATACAAATCTCTAATTCAATAATGAATAATTGATTGCTGGAAGAATTTATCTACTTCATTTACAAGGGTTGAATGTAACATTTACATACTGGAAAGTATCCTAAACCAAAATCTGAATCCAATTCTTTCTGTTTCCTTGTAACAGAATTCTCAAAGGGCAGGATCTTTCTGGTGTCCTACCACGATCGATAGTGAAGTTACCCTACCTTAAAATTATGTGGGAAGAGCTTCCAAGTTCCAAATTTATGTTTGTTCTTCATATCTGTTAACTAGTTTTTATGATTCCATCATGTTCAAAGTGCTATCTATTGTGTACAGTGATTTATCTCGCAACTATCTCAGTGGTCCTCTTCCCCGTGAATGGGCTTCTACCAAGTTGGAATTAATGTGAGCAATATATGCACTTCTCTGTTAGTTTAGCAAATGTACTATACACCCTCAGCTTCCTAAAATTAATGAAGTGAAGCTTCTGTAGGTCTCTTTCTATAAATCGCATATCAGGAACAATTCCAAAGTTTTTCGGAAGGATTACCAGTCTCACCTATGTGTATTCTCTCTCTCTCTCTCGCGCGCGCGCGCGCGCACGCGCATGTGGATACGAACTATGAACGTTGGAAAAGAACAAATTTTCAATGCTTACATGATAAACTTGTATTGTAATTTTGAAAGAAGTTCAATTTTCAGGAGCTTCGAAAGCAACATGTTTGATGGAACTGTTCCAGCAGAGCTCGGGAATTTGGTCCACTTATGCTGTGTTTGGTTGAGGAATTTGAAGAGGGATTTGGAAAGAGAAATGGAAAAGGTAGGTGAAATGTGAAAAAAAAAATGCCTACATTTCACATAGTTTCACACACTTTTTCCCTTTCCCTTTCCAAATCCCTCCCCAAATCCTCCAACCAAACACAGCGTTAGTGTATCTGTGAGTCCTGTCCTACATCACCTCTTCAATATAATTCATATATCTTTATGCAACCCTAGATTTTCAACAAATTGTGCAATTCATCACAAATTTATATGTTTATGTTGGCTACCCCCTTTGGGCACTGTAGCAATTTTAACTCTAACAATCTCACTGGGGAGCTGCCAAAGGAGTTCAGTAATCTGATAAATTTGAGAGAACTGTAAGTTCATTAGTAATCTTGGCAGTATCATAATTATAAATTTGTGTCGTGCCACTGTTTTAAGTTGTTTTCAATCTTTTCTTTGTTTTCAACTTTGGGTAAAAGCAGTAGGTTGAGCAGTAACAATTTCAATGGAAAGTTACCCAGTTTCCAGAGTTGCAAACAACTTGGAATACTGTAAGTGTTTCTTCTTTTTAAGCATTCAATAACATGTGAAAAGATAAAAATTTCTAGTGCAATTTTAATGCATTCGATATCTATCATGACAGAGAGCTTGAAGCAAGTGGGTTTGAAGGGCCTATACCTTCTGGCATTTCTCTCTTGCATAATTTAACTGAAATGTAAGTTCAGATTTTTGTGGTCATATTTCTTGGAATAAGTAATTTTGGTACTATGCTTTTAAGCTTTTTAAATCAAGATAGATATTTCCAAAGGCAAGTATTTTTAATGGGATCTCTGAGCAGAAGGATTACAGACTTGAATGGAGGGGCTTCAGAATTTCCACATCTAGAAAACATGAAAGCCTCGACAAAATTGTGAGTCATACCAAGGATTGAAAAAAATGATATAAAGTAGGCTAATCTTGACCTCTTCAGCAACATTACTTGCATAAATTTGGTTTTCTTTGCAGGACGTTAAGGAACTGCAACATATCCGGACCAATCTCAGTCTATCTAGCAAATTTGTCTTTAACACTACTGTAAATCTCCTGCTCCCTTATTATTCTTCTTATATTTGGCAAGTCCTACTTTCTCATAATTCTTTTGATTTATTCTATATTTATTTCATGACAGACTACTACATCCCGGACTATTACTAGCAACTTCTTATTTTGAGATAGATATATGTGTGTTTGTGTGTTTTGTATGAAATCGAGATGACATACCTGAACATACAAAATTTTATGTGTAAGAATATGAATGTGGACTTTTCAGGGGGTATGTATATGTATAAACTGTAGACGTAGTATAAACAGAATTTTTTAAACATAATTTCCATGTAGTTTTTTTTTTTTTTTTTTAGAGGGTTAATTTTCATATAGTTTGATATGCTTATTTGTGATCCTTTTCATGCGTTACGTGTATGGGTTTTGCTATTTTCTTACTTGGATGAAGTAGGATAGAAACATTAAACATTAATTGTCACCACCCTCTCTATACACCTCTCTGCACATTTGGAACTGTGCATAGAAATAAAGGGGGTGCATTTAGAATCGCCCAGAGAGTATAGCAGTCTAAGGATGGCTTCCATTGCTATTCTTATACACGAAAGGTTGAAGAATGGAAGGGGAAAAGGGGGATCTGATGTAGCTAACCACAAAATTTATACCAACCAATAAAACAACTTGATTATCCACCACCATCATCATGGCCACTTAATCATCTATTGCCATCACAAACGGTCAATAATTATGGCTGCAGTGTATTAACTGGTTATTGGCCATCATGGAAGAGAATCGTGGTTTTGCATATTGTTTAAGCAGGAAAAGAGATGAGAAAGTTGATGGATAGAATTACGAATTTACGACCACAACCTTACACTAAAGTACCAAGGAAACTAAAAATAAAGGTAGTTTGATCTAAAACTTAAGATAATGAGTGTAAGCCAAAATTTGGTCAACCTAAATGACATATAAATGAATTGGATCTTATACAAATAAGGATAAAATAGTCAACTTTATTATACTTCCATGTGCAAGTCACATGACCTTTTTCCACCTGAGTACCTAATTGTATGCAACAGTTGGACCAATTTGATAGAAATTGAGATTTTTGGTTTAATGTGTTGTTATTGAAACTGTAACAACCAAATTAAAACGAAAACTAAAATATCATAAACTGCAATTTACCCTTTAACATTAATCTTGATACATCATATTGATATAGTTTTTGGAAAATCTTCACTAACAAATACATGACTCAAGAAGAGTAGAACAAGTCGATGTCATATTACAAAACAGAGTGAGTGGGTTGGTTGCATTTGTAAAAGGTTCCATCTTGAAAATAATTAAAATTCATAGAACATAAAATGTCTTGCTTTTGGAAAGAAACTATTTTCATGTAAAGCAATGGAATATTAATATTGTCATTAATATTTGAATTTTTTTTCATTCTACATATATTTTTACGAATTTAGGCCTCATTTGGGAACAGATTATTTTAGTAACTTTTTATCTTTTTGGCTAAAATATGAGGTAAAAAAAATTAGTATGTTTGGAATGACTTTTTCATTTTTTACGAAAAGATGTGCAAAAAGTAGAGAAAAAAGAGAATTTTTGACTTTTTGGTATAAGTTATAGACTTTTTGATTTTTTTAATAACTTTTTGGCTTTTAGGCTAAAACTCTCGCATGCCAAACGAGGCCTTAGAGAAAGTTACGATCGGGTACCTTGAGATATAATATGATGGTGGGCGTTGGGGAAAAAGGAGGTAACCAAAATGTATATGGATGTGATAAAAGACATGCATTATAAAGTTATGACTACAATTATATCACCTACAAGAGAAACTAGTGAATTTTATATCATTTGAGGACTGCGTCAAGGGATAACTTTGCCTTATTCATGGATGAATTAATTAAGTACATTCAGGATGATGTCCATGATATATGTTGTTCATAGATGATATTATTCTAATGGATGAAACTAAAGGAATTAACACTAAATTACAAATCTATAGAGAAGTACTCGAGTAAAAGAGGCTTAAAATTAGTAAAAATAAAAATGAATATATGGAAGGTTAAATGTCACTTTATCTCCCTATAGTTTACTTCAAGTGCAGTTTACCCCTCTGACATTTAGAAATAAACACATAACTCGCTATGGTTTGTGGACTAATGTGTACTACCTGTACCGTTAATGGCTTAAACGAAAAGACTAAATTATTTTTGTACATAAGTAACATCATTGTGTAAATGACAGACATTTTCATCCTTTTTTTATGACTCAAAATGCACTTTACCCTCTTGTGTTTTACTTCATGTAATTCTTCTTATGATCAACCTCTTAACGTTCTTTGCTTTCTGAAAATTGAGTTGTTATTTTATGGTAGGGACCTAAGCTTCAACAGGTTGGAAGGACATATCCCTGACTTTGAAGGAGCCACATATTTGCAAACCATGTAAGCAATTACATTTAGGATGACAAGATGTCCTAATTTCTTATGCATGGAAATCATTCCTCATTCATTTGTATGATTTATCTTTCAATGTTGGCAAAGAATCCCTCTTCTATAATTGCACCGATAGGGTAGGAATGTGATTAGAATTCACAAATTATGTATGTGTTGTGCCAGCTGAAGCATTGATACCTGTTTGTAGTAATCAATGGAAGACACAAGAAAATAGAATGTAAAGAATAAACATGAACACAAACCCTTATAGTGCATCCAACAATAGGGCTATGTCCATGGGTGAAGACGATTAAGAACATCCACTATATAGTGTACATTGTTTTTCAAGAAAACTATACCCAATATGAAACACAACGAGAGTAAAAGCCCCACATGCCAAGACTCCAGATTTGAGATGGTACCTAGAAAAAAAAACCCACGAGAATGTAGAAAATTAACCCTATCCCCCCCCCCCCGGCTTCCCAAGAATGTGCTCCCCATCCCTTCAACAGACCAAAAAGTTGGATGCACTCAATTTCCTAACACTAGACCCTTTTTGTAGTCTTAAACCAAATTCCTTGTTGCACAAGGAACATTGAGTTCTCAACACACAAGAATGGTTCATAAAAGGAAATACAGCCAAATTGGAATTTGAGACAATTCATAAAAATCTTCACCTTAAATCAAATTCAGCTAAACCACGAAGCCAACTTCTCCGCTAAACTTCATTCCCCACAATCTAATTGTCCTCAAGTCAGCCTTCTCTTGAATAAGGGTTTATTTTTTATTGAATCTTCCTAGAATCAGAGCTCCATCACAACTGTTCATCGGAGCAATGGCAAATCAGTGGTACACTTCACAAAGGAAATCTATATGAAACATATTTTCTGTTTCAACTCTAGGTGTCTATGAAGCTCACTAAGACACTTGTACTCTGTTACAAATGATAGTGAGGTGGCTTGGAATGAATATTGCAGAGCACCTCTCAAATGTTGATTTCTGTAGTTAAAGACTTGAGCGTTTTTAAGTGGGTAGTGCTATGATTTATCTCTCTTACTCCTCAAGGGTGTGCAGAGATTCTTCACTACTCTCCTATGAACTCGTTAACCTAGCTCTCAATGTTCAACTGAAATGGCAATGTGCAACTTCTGAAATTTTTCAGATTGAAACAATAGTAAATGGTGAATACCTCTCAAGTTCACAGCTTCATGTTCCAAGAGCATGGAGGTCTTCACCCCATCCTTCCATTGTTCCACTCATATCATATGTATATGACACGCCACTCCTTAACTCTGTACTTCCGCTCTTGAGAAAACCAGATGCTGAGTGGACTTACATATTCTTCTTTTTCTCATGTGTCTTTTATCTTTTAATTCTGCATTAAATTTGTCAAAAAGTAGCAATCTAAGTAACTGCATAACTATGGTGAGATGACATTGCTTATTGGTTAGGTATCTGACGGGGAATTTGCTTAATGGAAGTATTCCAGTATGGTTGACGAGCAGAGATCATAAATAGTATGTAATTCACCTTCAATTCTATTTTAATAATTTTATTAATAATTAGATAATAGTTAAATACATGCATATGCCTGAGCAGACATACACATGAATTCCTCTTTTAAAAGTACATCATCTCATGACATCTTTGGAGGTTGTTGCAGATTTTATTCATGTCATTCACTGCTGGTGAAACTATTGACTTGATTCCAGCTGCAACTGTGTGCTTCTTGAGGCTCTTTGGTAAAATAGCCATATACTGCAGCTGCGGTTGGGATATATTCAAAAAGTCTCTAAACTAGATTGTGTCATTTTGTGTTAGATCTATTTCTTCTTCCAGTCATTGTCAATCAAAATTTTTTGTCTGTGTGTTGTTTTGATTAGCATAAAAACTGAAATGTTTCGGAAATGTTGTTGGAACCTTTCAACCACATTTCAAACTATGTTACCAGAAAACGCTAATAGCCTAGCGAATTACGTATTGGTACATACGTTCCGAAAATGGTACATTTAGTGATCCGAAGCAATCCTAAAAGTTTTTCCAATATATTTCCTTAAATGTTTTCTTAAGAGGGGAAAAAAAATTCAAATATATGAACTAAAATCTAAAGTGAGTTAAGTTTTGACAAGACAAAAAATAAAAAATGGGTCATAATTTTCATAGAAATAATTTGCTACATGAAAAAAAAAATTATTGAATATCTAATAGTTTAAAGAAAATTACTCTAAAAGTACCTTAAATTCTGAAACGTAATATATATAAGTCTACTCCTATCGTACCACATTTTAGAGTATGTGGTATACCCCATTCCCGTTCCATCTACCGGAATGATTCACGTTCTAGGTGACATAGGTTTCAAAAAAAAAAAAAAAAATTGAAAATACATAGAAATGCTTGGAAACATAAATTGAAATATGTTTAAATATATAAATGCCTAGCAAACATAGTGATATGTATATGGTCATTCACATAAATTCAAAAAAATAAAAATAACTCAATTTTATCAAACACAAGTGTATATAATTATAAAAGTGTGTAAGATCCCAACAAAATAAGGTCTAAAAATGTACTTAGATAGTATTAATATTATTAGTATTACTATATTGCTAGCAATAATATTTATTAATACAGTAAAATATAACCTTTTATATTTATTATAAAAGAATTATAAAAAAATTATGAAAAATTCTAAATTTATGTCAACAAAACTCACTGTTTTGGTATATTGTACTGTGATTTAGTGTGTCTTGCTTGCGTGTTGATGGAAACACAAGAATTTCATTATTCCACTAATGTTTTGTTTCAGTCTTTTTGGAAATGGAAATGTTTCAGCTGTTTCGATGGAAACAAATAGAAATTTTGTTCCTTGTGGGTCATATCTCAATATACAATGAGTGTGGGATCTATGAATCCTTTGTATTTTTTTATTATTATCATGAATTATTCAACTGAAATAATTTTATGCAGCCTAATAGACCTTTCGTACAACTTTTCTGTGCAATATGTGCCTTCTTGTAAAGAAACCCTGTAAGATTTCTCTCTCTACCCTGTGGCTTCATTGAATTTGCAAGCATTTCTTTTCTTTTTTCACTTGTTCTTTCGTTTTCTTCCTTTCCTTTCCTTTAATTTTTTTTTTTTTTAATCAAATCAGTAACTTGTTCAGAAGCTTCTCCGGAGGAAACTTGTAAGCTTTTAGCTCACATATGAAAAGTTACAATTTGCATTTCAGTTCAATCGTATTATACTGGTGATCCCTTCATTATCCTCCTCCTGGCTTTGCTCACTTTTTTATACCTCTTTTTTTTCTTTTTCTTCATGCTATGTAATTCAGGGAAATTAACGACTGCTTTAAGTACTTGCCTTGTCCAAAACGTGAGTGTATGTTTCTCATATTCAAAACTCAAGGTTATAGCTCAATTTTATATTTATTTCTTCAATTTTCCCTTGTTGATATCAAACTTCACGGTGACCTATGCTACATGGACTTAGATACGGGTGTCAGGTACATATCTAGAGGTCAGCCCCATCAAACCTCAAATTAAGGGTATATAGATTCAGCAAAAAGGGTCATATTTTTATATTGTTAATCTATCATGTGAGATAAAATGATGTTATATGTAATGTACAATGTCAAAAAGGTATTTTACTCATTTTCTAGCAATTATACAGTAATATATATACATATAATGATAGTGTTAATAAAAAATGTCTAATAAAAAGTATCGGACACATATTCCACACTCTTATCCAAGATTTGGGTGTCCGACATGCATAGTTGATTTATTTTGAAAGGTCCATGTAACATAGGTGGCGACTACGTTTGGTTGATCCTTATATTCCACACTCTTATCCAAGATTTGGGTGTCCTACATGCGTAGTTGATTTATTTTGAAAGGTCCATGTAACATAGGTGGCGACTACGTTTGGTTGATCGTTCATGTTGTCAAGGGAAAACACACACACACTCATTTTTTATTGGTACATTGGAGGCCGTAGCCTGGGAGAAGGGGAGTCTTGTTTGTGACAAGACTTGAACCCTTGACCTCCTACTAAAGTGTGTTAGGATAGTTATTTATGTTCTATTGTTAATATTTACTTAAGTTGATGGTACGATGGTATATTACAATATTAGGATTTGTAAGGAACCTGGCCAATTGGGCTAGCCCCAATTGACACACACACTCATTTAAATATGAAATATAACTTTATCCTTTTTTTCTCTTTCATATGATCACACATGATGGATTTCTTTCAGAAGATGGGTATTCTTTGCATATAAATTGTGGTGGAGGACAAACCAAAATTGGAAACACTATGTATGTAGCAGATGAATCGCAGGGAGGTCCAACGACATTGCAAGCAGCAGGAAATTGGGGATTTAGTAGCACTGGACATTTCTGGGATGTCAATGCAAATGCAGCGTACTATCAGACCAAAAATGTTTCTGTTCTTACAATGAATGAGTATCAATTGTACACAAGTGCTCGCCTCTCTCCTCTGTCTCTTACTTATTATGGGTGTTGCTTAGTGTACGGGGAGCAAATATTCCGGCGAGCCCGTACTCCTTTCTTCCGAGCTCCGTCTCTGTCCGATCACCTGCGAGCCAATAAGGGTGAGCTACCCGGCGGTGTGTGGCCGGAAAACCCTCCGACGATCAAGTTAGAACACACACACAGAGGATAGCTAGAGAGAAGGGAGAGAGAGTTTGGGTGTAAGAATTCCTTACAGAGATGTTCGTGTGTTGCGTATGGGGGGCGCAGACATGCTTATATACCTTCTGAGCCCCATATCCACTCCCAGTCATCTCCTGACACGTGGCTCTGCTATCCCATCTGTCAGCATAAACCATGCCATTCATCACCTAACCTCAACTGCCTGTCATCACAGCTGGAGCTCGGCAGCCGAGCTGCCCTATCCGTTGTTGTGCCATGCCGTGCTCCATACCCTAGCACTTCACTGGCCAAGACTGACGAGGACCGGGCTAGGCGGCATCTCGGCAGAGCCTAGCCCGAGGTACCTCCTGGGGTCGGCCTTTCTGCCGGTCAGACAACTTCCTCGGATGTCCGCGCCCTCGTGGGCGCCGATCACTCTGCCTATCTGGCTTCGGCCATCCTCGGACCGAGCATCCTAGTCCGACCGAGCACTGCCTCGCCGAGCAGTTTCTGTCCGGTCCGGGGTGGCGCACAGCCCGAACTCTGCCCGGCCCAAGTTCTGGCAGTCCTCTGGGCGAACAGTCGATCATCTCGGCCCAATGTACTGCTGGGCTTTCAACCTGCCCGGTCGATATCTCGGCCCAACTCTAGGTCATGAATCACCCTCTCACTTAGTATATGGGAACGACACGGTGACCCTTCATTTTGCTGAGATAGTTTTCAGAGACAATCGATCCTATCAGAGTCTTGGTGGACGAATATTCAATGTTTACATCCAGGTAGTTAATATCATTGTAATTGCACCTTTTATTATGCAAATGGAAACATATTTGGTTAATTGGTTTGTTACAGGATGAACTGGTTTTGAAGGATTTTGATATTGAAACTGTTGCACAAGGGGTTGACAAGGCTGTAGTTCTAAAATTTAACAACACAGTTGTTAAGAATAAGACCATGGAGATTCGCTTTTACTGGGCAGGGAAAGGGACAAGAGTTGTTCCTGATCGAGGAATTTATGGTCCTCTCATATCAGCTATTTCTATAGAATCCAGTAAGGCGTGTTCTATTTAGGCTTTCCTTGTTTATTTCTCAATGGTGAAACATCATCCTATCCCCCTCATGCTTGTGTTTGAGATTCTTTCTGTTACATTTATATTATACTTGCAGATGACTGAATCAATGGCCATAATTTAGAAGAAACATAATTTTCAGCTTTATAGTGGCCATGATTCTTCTCTTACTAGTTGATTTTTCTTTGAAGTGTCGTATAATTTCTTACGGTAAGAATTTCAAATATTGGTGAGGCTTTGGACAAAAGTTGTCAATTATAGATGCAACCTTATGCATGCTTTATCTGATTTTGCTATGTAGATTCCAAGCCTCATTCTGATCAGAGAAAGAAGATAGTCATTGTAATTGGAGCTGTAACTTTTTCATTATGCCTGGTGTTCACGATTCTATTTATCTTTTGGCGGAGAGGCCATTCAGAAAGCATTGCTTCAAGGGAACAAGGTCTCTTATTTCTACTCCATGTTTTATTTTTTATTTTTGAAATGCCAACTGTGGGGATATATTTTCTAAGTACCAACACGTGGCAAGGTGATGCCGACATGTCAGCCGAGGTGCCACGTGTCTTGGTCGTTGTGGCGAGGTCATCTCAGCTAGGCCGAGGTTATCTCCGAAGATATCAGAATCCGAGATAAGCGGATAAGGGACAAGAGTCCTAGAATGAACAGGGAACTCAACTTGGATATGGACAAGAGTCCTAGATTGGGAGAAGACTTCAGTTTAGGTAAAGATAAGACTCTTAGAGAGTTAATCCTAATCCCACTGGGAGTCCCAGATTAGCAGTAATCCTAAGTCCATTAGGGCCAGGCTCCTTTTGGGACTAGGATTGTATTGGCTATAAAAGAGAGGCACCCCCATGGGTCTAAGGTACGCAATTTTATACTCAAGCTTGTGAGTTTAGCACTTGATTATCTTTGAGAGATATACTGACTTGATCGTCGGAGTGCCCCCGGGTGGAAGAGCCACCGCCGGAGCCCTTTCTTTCTGTTATAGGTTACTGGAGCCATCTATTCTGCCGGTGCTCTCCAGCTGATTACTAGGCGGGCAGTGTGGTAAGAAAATTACCCACACACCAACAATGTACTTGCATGTATTCCAGGTATTGCAGAACGTAGGAATAATAAATGACAGATGGTGAAATTGTGGTTGTTTGTCAACATTTTAATCCTCTTGAGTAGGCCTCCAAAATACCAACAATATGAATTTTTGTTATAAAAGTTGTACATCTTTTTCTTCTTTTTTTTGAAGCAGTGGAGAGTATCAGATAACGACTGTCAATATTGTCAAATTAATCCTGTTTTAAATGTCTTGAGCTTGTTTGATAAATAATATCATTATGATACCAAAGTTCCCTTGCTTATATGTAAATGTCCCTTACAGACATCCCTTAATAGTTGAAAGTAATTGTTTGAGTTAAGAATGTTAACCATCTCTCATGCCATGAATTAGTACTGAGGAGTTGTAGAGCAACAAAAGAAAATTTGGAACCTTATAACAAGTTGGGATTGTCTGTAGGTGTTGAAAGACTGAACTCTTTTCATTGTTCCAACTTTTCTGCAACCAAACAATGTTAGTAATTTGACGATGCAGTCAAAAAAATAAAACAACTTGTTTTTTTGCAGAACTAAGAGGATTAGATTTGCAAACTGGTTTATTTACCTTCAGACAAATTAAAGCTGCCACTAACAACTTTGACAATAACAACAAAATTGGGGAAGGAGGTTTTGGATCTGTCTACAAGGTATATCGTAATTAATTGTATTTTTGTACTATGTCATATTCACTTTCTGTTTTTTGTTTATGCTATGATGTCATGTGGAGATGTCAATTCCATGTTAAAGTGTTACCAAAAAATAAGTTGTTATTTCAATGCAGGGTGTATTATTAGATGGTACTGTAATTGCAGTTAAGCAACTTTCTTCCAAATCAAAGCAAGGAAATCGTGAATTTGTTAATGAGATTGGTATGATCTCTGGTTTACAGCATCCAAATCTTGTAAGATTGTACGGATATTGCATTGAAGGGAATCAACTACTATTGGTGTATGAATACATGGAAAATAATAGCCTTGCACGAGCTCTATTTGGTAACTTAATGTATTCAGTTAGTTGTGTATATTTCGTTAGTTAAATAAGATTATCAAGAAAATATTATGGAGCAACAGAGCTTACCAGTGTTGATGTTGTAGTTCATGCAGCTGTGTTCAATCCCCAACATTCCCCTCTCCTTTCCCTTAGACTAGGCTACGGTAGGAATTTCTAATGTCAAAAAAATAAATAAATAAAGATTAAAGAAGCAAACATTATTACTTCTATTTTCAACCATTAATAATCTAGATCTGTTTTTTCCTTTCCTTGTTTTTTGTCTCCTTGATTTGCTATTTCTTGTTAATTATAGGTCCACAGGAATGGCAATTGAATTTGGGTTGGCCTACCAGGCTAAAAATTTGTATTGGCATAGCAAGAGGTTTGGCATTCCCCCTGCACGAGGAATCAAGACTGAAAATTGTTCATAGGGACATCAAGGCTACCAATGTACTACTTGATGGGGATCTTAACCCTAAGATCTCTGACTTTGGTCTGGCTAAGCTTTCTGAAGATGACAACACCCACATTAGCACCAGGGTTGCTGGAACTATGTAAGCTACCAAAATTTCTCTTGCCTTCATAAGACAAACACTGTTCCCACATTTTTAGAAGTAATTATATCTAAGATGCCACCTTAGAACAGGCTAGAAATATGTAGGTATCTCCTTTATTACTGGCCATGTGTTTCTCACACATAGTCATGAAGACCTACCCATGTTAGCCTTCAAGGGACACGTGCATAGTCTACGTGTTCGATCTTACTCAAATAGGATTAAATCGACCCATAGTATCTCGTTATATGTCCAAGTCCTAAGACTTCATTCTTAAGAAGTTTGCCAACCAGACATCCTGCAAGAATCAAGAGTTTGGGCATCATCTCCCTATCGCTGAAGTCTCATAGCTTGTCTTTACAATGTGGTGGTCATACAACACATCTTATAGCATGGTAGTGGTTTTACTTTGTCCTTTATTGTGGTGATAGTATTGCATTGCTATGTGGTAATTTCCATAACTTTTCATCACTAAGGCCCCGTTTGGGAACCCTCATTTTTAGCTAAAAAGTCAAAAAGTTACTAAATTAACCAAAAAGCCAACAACCCATACCAAAAAGTCAAAGATTCTCTTTTCTCTCTACTTTTTGCACATCTTTTCGTAAAAAGCCAAAAAGTCATCCCAAACATACTAGTTTTTTTTTAGGTCATATTTTAGCCAAATAGCCAAAAAGTTACTAAATTAACCTGTTCCCAAACGAGGCCTAAGATGTCTAGTTCTGATCATATTTTGATCACCTTGAAAATTGCATGAATGCTTGAAAATTGCCAAATAAGGTTGTGTATTGTTAGCATTTACCACTTAAAACTACTGATAATGTTGGAGCTGTACTAAAAAGTATATATTGTTAAAATAGAATAAACAAAATTATGTTTGTTGTGCAGAGGGTACATGGCCCCAGAATATGCGTTATGGGGTTATTTAACCAACAAAGCAGATGTTTATAGTTTTGGGATTGTTGCATTGGAAATTGCTGCTGGAAAGGACAATATGAAATTTCGTCCTAGTGATAAATACGTCTGTCTGCTTGATTGGGTAAGTTCTTGGTTCTTGAAGGTTTAGGGTTGAATATATTTTAAAGATGTTTCTTGCTTTGAGACCTATCTGTTTGGCTTAATTGCCAGCTATGACTTGAGTTAACACAAACTTAGCAGGAAGTTGAACTAACCTGAAATGGTTTCGTCAACGAGGATTTGAGCCAATTGCCATTTATTGTTTGCAAGGCTTTAAATTTTGATTGGTCTAGAATGTTTAGTTTTTATTGAAATGTTAGTGAATTACTTATATTCAGGATAACTGATATTCCAATAACCCTGGAAATTTAGTGTGAAAAAGCTTGAAGACAGTCAAAATTTGGTTTCTCATCAAGGACATAAAATCAAAAGAGAATACCTTTTATCTAAATTTTCACCCAACATGAAACATTGCTTTTCCGAGTCACTTTTAATCTTGTTTGTCCATGGTGGGCATGACTAGTGGTTGTTTTTATACCCAAGTCTACTTCCATAGATGTTCTATTTTCTTACTTGTTTCTTTTTATTATTATTTTTTTTTTTCTATTTATTTATTTATTTTTTTGATTTGGTGGTTGGGGGGTTGCTAGGATCATTATTTGCCTGGCTTATTTCATATCAATATCTTTCTTGTGCTTATTTCAGGCCCTTGTTTTGCAACAAAAGGGCGTTTAATGGAGTTGGTGGTTCCAAAGTTGGGTCCTGATTTCGACAAGGAAGAGGCAATAAAAATGATCAAGATAGCATTATTATGCACTAATCCATCTCCGGCAATTAGGCCTGCCATGTCTGCAGTAGTAAGCATGCTTGAAGGTCATCTTGACATTCAGGACTTAGTCATGGATCCAAGTATCTATGGTGATGAATACAGGTTCAGATCCCTCAAAGGCAAGTACGATGAGCTGCAACTGCAGAGTTCGAATGAAGCTCAGACCCTTACTGATTCGATGGTCACGACAGAAATTGGATCTTCCTCTACATCTACCAATGATCTTTATCAAATCAATTGTCATTCTGTGTAATGCTGCCAGCATGAGGATGTGTCTTGGTGGGTTCATTATATTTTCTGCAATGCCTTCATTAGCATTTTTTTATAAAATTTTTAGAAGTAATAGTATGCATTGACTATTGCTTTCAAATGTATGAAAAGTGCTTTTAAGATGCTTATCAAATAGTGCTTTAGATGTGTATGCAGCCTTCATGTTTTACCTGCTCACATTTGGCCTACTATAGCTTAATATCGTTTTTCCTCTATTTGTTTGGCAAATTATACTTTGTCCCTTAAATACAATCATTTTGTCAATTTGATTGTTAAACTCGAAGTTTTATTTATTTATTTTTTATACCCAAGCGGTAGTCCAAGTGGTCTCATGAGCGGAGACACTTAGGTACGGATGAGGTGAGATCTCAATTTTTTTTTTTTTTTTTTTTTTTTTGATACAAAGATCTCAAGTTTAAGTCAATGAAGTGGTGTCTGTTTTTTTTTTTGTGAATTTTTTATTTTGTTTTTATTGATAACTTATTGTATAGTCATTAATAGAACCATTAAAAGACCATTTATTCATTAAAGGTGTAATTAGTGAAAGCAAAAGTGTATTTAATTAAGCCAAATATGTTGAGTCTTGATAGTTGACTAGTGGTGCCCGTTGATGACAACTTTAGAAGAGAGTTGTTAGTGATTTTTTATTTTTTTTAATAAAAAAGTCAAACAGTCCAATTTCATGGTCTATAAGAAAAGATATTGTTAACATTACATTACAGTATATTGGCTAAGAGATTTATTTATTATTATTTTATTTTATTTTTTATTTTTATTTGGAGACCTACATTTGTATACGGCCAAATAGTTTTATAGCAATAATTTGTTAAATAATCTAAAATAATTATTAAAAAGTTAAGAAATTATTTCATATTTCCAGAGTAATGTTATTCATACTCCAGGTTTGACTTTTTATACTCCTTTTGTACGAGACTAAAAGTAAAAAAAAAAAAATAGTGTCTAAAAAAATAAATGCTATTTGAGCAATGAAATTTTAGACAGAAATTAGAATACATTCAGTTAGTTAAAATCCTTTAATTTTATTCAAATTTTCTTACAGATTAAATTTCTCTCGAATTAAGATCTCTTTTGTTTTAAAAAAAAAAAATCAAAACCAAAATGATAAAATTTATAGATAAGAAGGGACTACTACTGTCACTTTTTGCGATAGTTAAATCATTATACGGAGTTAATTTATGAAGAAGAAAAGCAAATAGAAAGGACTTGTGAAAAAAATATACTTCATTCATTTTTATCTGCCAACTATAAATCTCTGAAATATTTCAAAATTCAAATACTACCTAAAAGAAATTTCTTAAACTATTTATAGAGGTATTAAAATTTGAATTTATCAATGAGAAATAATAAACCTGTTATTGCCTTTTCTTTTCTTTCTATCCTAGTAATGGAACAAAAATAATAATAAACTCGTTCACTTTTTTTCTCTTTAATCAAAACAAAAACGAGCTCTTAATTCTATAAAGGTTGAATCATTTGATATAATTATTATACTTATTATGTGACTAGATTTTTTTTAGGTCTATTATCCTCTTCTTTGGATCTCTCTTTGCCCTACAAAGTGAAGAATTTTACCATAGCTTGACATGCTGTGAATTCTCTTAAACTAAACAGGTGCCTTTTGGAACATGGATACAAGTGTAAAACTTTTAAAGAGATAATTATTCAATAATTCCGAAAAATTATGTAACGTCGATTATGCAGTTTTTAAAACTAATCGCGTAATGTAAAATTTTACGAGATTAATATGCTAACTCACTTTTATTAAATAGTTAGGATATAAAAAAATAATATGTTTAATATATGTTACGGCATGGAATATTACTAAATAATCTCACATAATAATTTAAGAATATCTAATAATTTTGTAAGAGTTCTCGCATTGAATAGAAACAACAAGAGGTGAATTGATTCCTAACATGAGATAAGCCTAAAGAATTATGGACTCTGTCAAATTCCATTCCCCAATTTTTTGATTCTTTTGCTTTGTTTGTTGATACAACCAAAGCCACAGAGCCAAGGCATTTGGAAAAGATGCAAAATTCTTGTCGTTGACCCAGTTTTAAAAGATTTAGTTCTAATTTAAAATTGAATTTTCATTTTGGGATTATGTTTATCTTGTCATTAAGTAAAATTGAAGGGCCTGGACGGTCTCCCGTCTGGACCGTCTAGTTCGGTTTATTACTAGTTTGGGAAGATTGAAAAAAGACAAAAAGTTAAAAAGTCACTATCCTATTTAAGTCACATCACTTCTCTAATACATCACTTCAAACTCAATCCAAACCCAACCCATATTTCATAAAAAGTCAAAAAGTGCACTTATTTAGTCTTCCCAAACTAGGCCTTATTTTTGGGTTCTGTTTTGAAAATTTGAACCGTTCTTATATTAGAATTCGTTAAATATATTATCCTTGCAAAAAATCAAATCAATTAGATAACGGAAACCACATGTTCCGATCAGTTTTGTATGAAGAAAATGAATAGTGAAAAAATAAACGATTCATACAAAATTATTCTAATCAGTTTTGTATGAATAAAATGAACAATGAGAAAATAAATGGTTCCTACAAAATTGATATGGGTTTTGTTATTCGATCAACTTATTTTTTGCAAAAATGATGTACTCGACGAATTTAAAATATGAACGGTTTAGATTATTGAAATGGGCCAAAAATAGGCCCAATGGACTTAACAGTACCTCTCCACTCCAATTTGGGACTGGAGAAAAGCTAATCCCAAAATTGAATACATCTATAACCAAGCGTATAAATTTGGCCTGACCCAGCCCATGTCGCCCTTCGCGGACTCCTGCTAAAATTCGGGCCTGGCCAGATCGGCCCACAGGCCAAAAAATTAGGCCACAGCCTAGGCTCAAGCCCAGGGGTATTCGGCCCGGTGGGCCTGAGTTTGGGCCTAGGCTTGGGCTTGGGCTTGGGGCGGGCTTGAACAATTTTTTTTTTTTTTCTATCAAAATTTTATTATTTTCCACTAAAAAAGAAGCTGGGCCTCGGGCAAGCTGGTCCTCAGGTTGGGTCTTACGCGGGCCGATGGGTAAGAGCAGGCTTTAAAATGATAGCCCAGGCCTTGCCCTGGGGTCAGGGCCTCAGGCTGGGCTCAAGCCCAAGCGCAAACGGGTCGGGCCCATCCACGGGCCGTAAGAGGGCTTCGGGTTGCCCACAGGTCACAGGCAATTTTTACACTTCTATCTATAACTCGATCACTATTTTTGGCTAAGATCTTTTATGGGTAAATTACACTTACATTCCTTGAGGTTTATATTTAATACAGTTTCCCCCCGTACATTATGAAAATTACATTCTCTTCCCTAATGTTTGCAATCTTATTACAAATTACTCCCTCCCGTTAAGTGGATGTTAAGAACTAAATAAAAATTGCTGATATTATGTCTTAAATTTTTTTTAATGACCATCTTGCTTTTTTTCCTACCATTTATTCTTCCTATTATCAAGATTACACTCTACAACTTTTCATCATTAAATTATAGTTGAACATACTCTTATTGAGTAATGATATACAAATATAAATTTTATACAGAATTTTCAAACATAATGATATAATTTAATGATGACCTTATATTTACAATAATATTACTATCACATCATTTTTATGATATTTTTTGTATAAATTTTTATATATAAATAGAATTTTTCATTTTTATTTCTACCATTGTTTTACATTTTTGTCTATTCACTCCATTTATTACATTATTACCAAACACCACCATTCATGTAAAATCTAACCAACCATGCAATCAAACTTGTTATCTCAGGTAGGTAACCCAAGAGGGGGTGAATTGGGTTTCTAAATAAATTGTCAAATTAAAAATTAACCAAAATAATAAATAAATAAATATGCTCGAAAATATAAAATAAAGTAATGAAATAAAATGAGCAAAGGGAAGAAATCATACACAGCGATTTATAGTGGTTCGGCACTCCAGGCCTACGTCCACTCCCCAAGTATCCTCTTCGGGAATTTCTTCACTATTTTTCAAATAGTAATTGCACCACTAGCTTCACGAGTGCTCAGTGAACGTTTACAACAAGTGACCAATCCCTATTACTCCGACTAGTTTAGAATTCAGTGTCTAGTCACACCTAACCAAGTAATTTTATCTCAAAAATCACTCACAAAAATATCCCCACTAGTTTTGAATCTGGTGTCCAGTTACACCTAACTCAAGTGATTTTATCCCAAAAAAATCACTTACAAAAACTCTCTTTTTACAAGAACAATATGAATAAGGGATAGAAAACGTTATTATAATTTGGCTCAAACTCTCAATAAATTTTGTCACAGAAAATATGTTAGAAATGGTTGGAAAAATTCTGGGTACAACTAGAATTTTTTCCTAAGTTTGGTCTATTTTTTAAGTGGGCCCCGTGCGTCAATTTTCGCAGGTCAAAGTGGTAACGCGTTCTATGTCGCGTTGTGATTCACATTGTATATTTAGTTGCTCAAAATCATTATCGAGTGAATGAGAAATTGAAGCCAAAGTGTGCTCCATGAAAATGGAGTTTTGGTGGAAAATCCTTAAAGATTGAAAAATCGTTTGTCCCACATTGATTTGGTGAGAAATTTTGAGTGGATTTATAAGGCATGGGATTGGAACTTGGGGTGTGCCCCAAAGGGTACCCAAGTTTTGTAGAAAGGGAGGTTATGGGCAAAATGAGCTAAACCCATTGGACCCAAAAATCACCACACGTGCGCTGTCCGTCCCGGCAGGCTGGGCATAGGTGCGTGGTTAGGCTTGTTCAGCCCAATACTAATATTTTTGGACCAAAAACATTTGAATTTAAATTTTATTTTTTGAAATAAAATTTGTCCAAAAATTCATTCCGAATTTCTGTCCAGATTTAAATTTCAATTTTTGAATTCAAAATTGTTGCACCTCTTCACAGACAGATCCTAATCTGTCTAAACCGAATTTTTTCTGTTCAAATTCAAATCCACCCAAAATAGGTTTTTTGAATTGGTTGAAATTCAAACCAAACAGTGTCTATTTGTTTAATTTAAATTGAACAGGTACTGTACCTATTTAATTCAAAATTAGCAGTCACCAAGCCACCACTTCATCTCTATAAATAGACTAGTCCCTCATTTGGATTATTACTCCAGTTTTTCGTCCATCCTTGCTGCAATTTTCATCTCTGCATTTTGCTGCTTTTATTCTATTATTTTTCTGTGAGAAAGAGTGAACAACACACTAATGGCATGTTTGATTGGAAGGATTAGAGCATGGGATTGGGATTATTAAT